ACTCTGTCTCAAAAAAATAAACAAATACTGAAAATGACACAGACAAATGTAGAGACTTCCCCTGAAGCTAACATCAATCTCCATTACAATACTCTGATCAAATCTCTTCACCCAAGTCCAAATACAACCGAAACTATTTCTCTGGACCCAAATCTCCATTTAGTTTGCAAGAATATTGTGGAAAATTTCATTCAACACTTCGAGTCTATTTTCCATCCTGGGGTACAGAGAGGTATGCCCATGTATTTGTTCAGTCTTTTCCCCCTTGAACAATTCCACATCTAACGATGGTTTTCATGATGCTCAGCCTGTTCTGAGCTCAGATATTCTGCGTCTTTGTCACCATTGTGTAGTTATCAGTTGTCCAGGGCTCATCTCCTCTCTTTGTTTATATCCTTCTGAAAGCTGAGCTCTATGAGCCCAGGTGAGAGAATGAAGAGACAGATACACTTTCTTTTGTTGCTTTCCTATTATTCTTCTTTTTCAGTGTGTTAGTGATTTTACTTTTAAATCCAGCTTCCTTTTAGTTTCTATCTAGTATTTCTATGACCTTTGGGATTAAAAAAACAAACAAAACCCCTTGCTTGCTAAGCATTGTCCAGGTATACATTTCTAACTGTGGCTGGCACGGTCTCCTTTCATCACTGTCAGCTCTAAAGGGGCTATTTCATTCCTACTGGCTGCAGTTAAGTCCAGAGAGTCACACTCCTTGTATTCTCTGTCTTTTCAGAGAAGTGACCACCAGCAAGATGTATGTATGTATTTATTTTTGAGACAGCTCACTCTGTCACCCTTAGTAGAGTGCTGTGGTGTCTTAGCTCACAGCAAGCTCAAACTCTTGGGTTCAAATGATCCTCTTGCCTCAGCCTCCCAAGTACCTGGGATCACAGGTGCCCACCACAATGCCTGGCTATTTTTAGAGACAGGTTTTCGCTCTTGCTCAGGCTGGTCTTGAACTCCTGAGCTTAGGCAATCCACTCGCCTTGGCCTCCCAGAGTGCTAGGATTACAGGTGTGGAGCCGCTGCTCCCAGCCAACAATATCGATTTGAAAAAAAAGAAGCACCAAATACTCTGCTTTAGCAGAACGTGACATTTGTCTATCTCTAGGACAGATCTGACGCCTGTGTGAGAAGAGCAGCAGTCATATTCTTCATCTACCTGAGATATCCGTATTTGGCTCCCACAGCTTCAGTTTACATGTCTGTCTTGTGCTCTTATACTATTTTTTACTATCAGCTTTAGACCTAATCTCTCAAAGATTTCTAAGCAGGGTACTGTGCCACGGCATCGCAAATAGTGTGGTTTTACTTGCACAAGCCCATAACCTCACGCTGGCATAGTCCAGCCATCAGCTGTATCTCAGCAATTCTGTCATGCTAAGAGATCATAGTCATCTATTTCCACTATATCTTAGGTGTGAAGTAAAAATAAAATCCTAACTCCTTTTCTCTCTCCTACTAACTGTATGGACCCATCTCAGCCCAGGGGACCTCAGAAAAAAGTCTTAAAACTGAGTTCCCGGGCAGTTCCAACAAGACGGGAGGCATAAGGCACCATTACAGGAAGGTGTTTTCTCTTCATAAATATTCATGACGTCTCCCATAGCTTGTTAAATATGGATATTTAGCCACCAAGTTCAGTATAAAATCCTGTTCCCTTTTGTCACTGCCTCGAAACACATATTCCGGGTTTGTGGCCAGAGTGGTGTTTCCCAGACTGTCAGAATGGGCACTGCAGGTCGAGACCCCTTCATAAGAAATAAAACTCTCCTTCTTAAAAATTACAAACACTGTTGTTTTTTTTTACATTAACAATAGTTTTACTTTACCATCAGCTCTAAGTAAAGAGGTATGAGTGTTAAAAAGTGTCAATCAGAGATTTAGCTGAAACATTTAAGAAAGACATCCTATGCAAAGTATTACAGGCTGCAGAGGAAAAAAAACTTATAGGAGATGTTTTCTCTGTTTTAAAAATCATTTCTTTTAATTTTTCTGTAGTAAAACTGAAGTGCTTCCCCCCCCTTATGTTCTTGAAATTAATTCAAGATGGATAACAGACTTAACTCAGACATGAAACCATAAGAAATCTAGAAGGAAATGTTGAAAAAATTCTAGATTGCAACCGAGGCAATGAAGTTATAAAGAGAACTGCAAGGGCAATCACAGCAACAACAAAAGTAATAAATAGGGCTTGATTGGATCCAAAAGCTTCCTCATAGTCAAGGACATGATCAACAGAATGGGAGAAAACATTTTCATGCTATATAACCAGGAAAGAACTAATAACCAGAATCTACAAAGAACTCAAGCAAATCAGCAAGAAAAAAAATCCAAACAACCCCATTAAAAGGTGACGTAAACAGCAGCTTTTCAAAAAAAGACAGGCTAAAAACCGATAAACATATGAAAAAATGTTCAACGTCATGAATCATCAGGAAAATGCCAATCAAACCACAATGAGATCTCACCTAAACCCACTGAGAATGGCTTTTATCAAAAAGTCCCAAAGCAACATCCCGCGTCATGGATGTGGAGAGGAAGGAACACTTACACACTACTGTGGGGACTGCAAATTAGTACCGACTCCATGGAAAGTAGTACAGAGATTCCTTAAAGAACTAAAAGAAGACCTACTATTTGATACAGCTGGGTATTTACCCAAAAGAAAAGAAGTCATTTTATCAAAAGACACTTGAAGTATGAATTATCCTCCATAAAGCTGTTACATAATGAAAAAAGAAAAAAAATCATTTTAATTTTTCTGTAGTAAAACTAAAGCTTTTTTTACCTTGTTTTCTCTTGCCAATCAATGACAGAATGTTTACCACACCACAACACAACTCCCAATCACTAAGATACCCATCAATTCATGAGTGGATTAATAAAATGTGGTATATGTCTACCAAGGAGTGATAGCCATAAAAAGTGAATTAATACCTTTTGCGACAATAGAGATAGAACTGGAGATCATTCTCCTTGGTGAAGTATTATAAGATGGAAAAGCAAACACCACGTGTACTCATTATTAAATGGAAACTAACTGATCAGCACTCACGTGCACAAAGTGAAACTCAAGGGCAATCAAGCAGGTGGGGTGGGGGAGGAGCTGGTTGAAATCATACCTAATAGGTACAATGTACACCATTTGGGTGATGGGCACGCTTAGACTATGACTCAACTAGTACAAAAGCAGCCCATATAACCAAAACATTTGTACCCTACCCCTGCAATATTCCAAAATTAAAAAAAAGAGATTCCAAAACTAGACATAAAGTTACTACAGGATCCAGCAACTCCA